GCCTTATAAATTTGTACTTGAACCCCCGCTCCCCCTCTCTGCTGCTTTCCATCCCCACATAGTTTAAATATGTGTAAGGCAGATTTATTGAGCCAAGTGATTAGCACTTCTTGGCGAGATCTCGACGTGCACAATTTTATAGCCCAAAGAGTCGGGTGTAGAGCGGTGAAAATTCGAGACTAGCGACTGCGAGATACTCGGTAGCTAGTTCTTCAAAAAAATCTGGAAGCCTAATATCATTTAATTTCCATTATCTCACTAATTGGGGTTATAAAGTCGGAGAGCTTTGACGGCAAATTTTGGGGTAAACTTAAACTGTTTTAGTGGTTATGCAAAAGTCTATTGTGTCTATCTGGATTGTTGGGGATATGGTATAATCAATTAATTATTAAATAATCATTTGGCATCACGTTTTCCAAGTTTTAAGAAATCACTTATTTAAAGGACCCTGATTTAAGTTAGTTAATATTTTACTAAGATGTTAGCAAAGGAATTTTTGAAGATCAAGGTAATAGTAATAACAATTTTACCGAAATGAAATACATATTTATGGAGTGGCCTTTTCTAAGCCATAAAAACTCTATTCTTAATTACAATTTTACTAAGATTTATTTCTATTTAATTCTTAAAATGACTTACATTTAAATAAGTGGAATTTTACTAAGGAGAAAAACTTTCAAGTATACCCCATATTATCCCCTTGTCATAATAAAAATTTTCCCAGATTAGTGGAAGCCGTAGGAAATTGTTTCTTTGGCGAGATGTAAAGCTCTTCGGCACTTAATTCAAACGCCTCGCGAGTGTGCGTCGCTAATTGCCGGATCACCTCCAGCTGCCCCTCTTTTGGGTTCCCCTCAGATCTCAGATGCCCCATATCACTTTGTGGGTAAACAGAGATACAAAGATACATAGATAATATAGTTCCGAACGGGGCAGCACGCGCATCTCGAAAAACACAGTAACCGAAACCGAAATAAAAGAGCGGTGAGCGAGAAAAAGGAAATACGAGCTACGAAGAGTGTTTTTGAAATGCTAATTTCTATGCAAATAATTTGGAAAACAAGCAAAAGGTGGTTGGTGGGGGGTGGAAAGGGGTGGTAAGGGGTGGTAACACCTCGCCCTGACATTCGGCTTATCTTGTTTACCCTCTGAGCTGGAAATGGAACCGAATCTGAAACAGAAACTGGAACTGGAGCTATGACTAGGCCTATGGTACTTTCAAGGGTGGCGCCTCGGATTCGTACTCGGATTTGCCTTTTGGTTACGGCTTTATCTATGCCGTTTCGTTTTTGGGTCACCGCTTAGGGAAAAATTTAGCATTCTATTTACGGACTGTGATAAGGGAGTCAAGAAACGCACCCAATTGGCATACACGCGGAAAAAATGTATCTAAAAGCGAAATTAGCAAAGCGAATGTTTGTTTTTCACAAAGAAATCATTACCACATTGCCATGCCATGTAATAAATTCTTAAAGTGTGAGATAAATAAATTAGGGTGTATCTTTGATAAGTATTTATTAAAAAATAGTTTAATCTTAGTAAAAATAGACCAAGAAATTAAGGTAGATCACAACACCGTGCTATGAGTAGTATTTAATCACTTAATCGCCAATTAATTTGGCAAACAATTATCATAAAATTATATATCTGTATTATAAAACATTAGTACTCAAAACAATATCATAAAACATTTTTGTAGAAATTTCTAGCTTTTTTTATACTTTTTGCTGTTGTACGATCTATTTATATTTATATTATTTATATTTATAAAATCTTAAGCAAGACTTTCAGTGCATTTCATCTCGGCGTTTGTCATCGGGAAAGCACGTGAATGCCATCCGCAGTGGGTCATCTAATTGAGTTGGGTTTCGGGTGTCGAGGGAATCACGAGCCCCCATCGATTGATTGCCTCCCAATTGCCTGGGAATTGATTAACCGACGCATGGCAATTGTTGCTCCTATCTCTGACTTCCCATTTTTTTTTTCCAGAGTGTGCTGCAGCAGACCACCAACCACCTGAATGTCACCCGGAACGAGAAGACCAAGTCCAAGCTCTACCCTTTGCCGGAGCAATGTGGCGAGCAGGAAGGCAGGGATCGGGATCAGAATCGTGAGCGGGATCCCCATGTGTGCAGCTCCTGCGGAATGGTGCTGCCCTCCAGTCCGGAGTTCGCCCTGGAGGCCTTGTCCCTGGGCCCACTGCCCCACTCGACGGGATTCGCTTCCACATCGTCGGCTGCCACATCCTCCACATCATCCACATCATCTGCCTCCGCGGGGGAACGGGAACGAGATCGGGAACCGCCGCCCAAGGCAATGCCTGCGGCCATCAAAAAACAAGGTGTCTCCGCCGAGAGCTGCGTGAAGTCCATGGAGCACTCCTACAGCATACCCATTCCCAAATACGACAAGGATTTCAGGTGAGATTTGTCTATTTGTTTATTTGGTCGCCAAACAAGATTACTGGCTACAACTATATATGTCTTAAGACTTAAAATTACAAGCTAAAAATATTTTTATTTAAGCCAAGAAATTTTTAAAAAATAAGGATATGTTTTGCGATAAAAAAAGGTATTTTAACAATATTCACTCTTTTATTTCAAAATTTAAAGTATTTCAATAATTTTTTAATTTTTGTAATATTTATTATTACATGATTATGAAGACGATTATGATTTTTTCTGAGCAAAAAATATAAATGAAACCACAATTATTGTTTTTGATAAGAATACAATTAAACTCAAAAATAATTTTAATTTTTTGATAAAAATAAAACTTATTAGAAACTGCAGATATTTTTGCATAGATCTGTAAACCGACTAGCTGATTTGGTAGGTAGGTACCTTGGAGTTAATTAAAAAAGTTAATATTAATTATGCCTATTAGAAACTATTTTAACAAATATTTATTATTTTTTACAGTGACAAGCAGCAGATCAAAGACGCCATCATGGATAACGACTTTCTGAAGAACATAGACGCCTCGCAGGTGCGCGAACTGGTGGACTCGATGTACTCGAAGAGCATTGCGGCCGGGGAGTTCGTGATCCGCGAGGGCGAGGTGGGAGCCCATCTGTACGTCTCGGCGGCCGGCGAATTTGCGGTGATGCAGCAGGGCAAGGTGCTGGACAAGATGGGCCCGGGCAAGGCGTTCGGGGAGCTGGCCATCCTGTACAACTGCACCAGGACGGCCTCCATTCGGGTGCTGAGTGAGGCGGCACGCGTTTGGGTGCTCGACCGCAGGGTCTTCCAGCAGATCATGATGTGCACGGGTCTGCAGCGCATCGAGAACAGTGTGAACTTCCTGCGGTCGGTGCCGCTGCTGAAGAACCTCAGCGAGGAGCTGCTGGCCAAGATCGCCGACGTCCTGGAGCTGGAGTTCTATGCCGCCGGCACCTACATCATTCGCCAGGGCACCGCCGGCGACAGCTTCTTCCTGATCTCGCAGGGCAATGTGCGTGTGACCCAGAAGCTGACGCCCTCGTCGGTGGAGGAAACGGAACTGCGCACTCTGGCCCGCGGGGACTACTTTGGCGAGCAGGCGCTGATCAACGAGGACAAGAGAACGGCCAACATAATTGCCCTGTCGCCGGGCGTGGAGTGTCTGACCCTGGACAGGGACTCCTTTAAGCGGCTGATCGGGGATCTGTGTGAGCTGAAGGAGAAGGACTACGGCGACGAGAGCAGAATGCTGGCCATGAAGGCGGCCAGGGAGAATGATAGCGGGGATGAGCTGAAGGAGCAGCTGCAGCAGGAGTTTCCCGACCTCAAGCTCACGGACCTCGAGGTGGTCAGCACCCTGGGCATTGGTGGCTTTGGTCGCGTGGAGCTGGTCAAGGCGCACCATCAAGGCCGTGTGGATACCTTTGCCTTGAAGTGTCTGAAAAAGAGGCACATTGTGGACACCAAGCAGGAGGAGCACATCTACAGCGAGCGCCACATAATGCTCAGTTCGCGGTCGCCCTTCGTGTGCCGCTTGTATCGCACCTTCCGGGACGAGAAGTACGTGTACATGCTGCTGGAGGCCTGCATGGGTGGCGAGATCTGGACCATGCTCCGGGATCGCGGCTCCTTCGAGGACAACGCCGCCCAGTTCATCATTGGCTGTGTCCTGCAGGCCTTTGAGTACCTGCATGCCCGCGGCATCATCTATCGCGATCTGAAGCCCGAGAACCTGATGCTCGATGAGCGCGGCTACGTGAAGATCGTGGACTTTGGCTTTGCCAAGCAGATTGGCACGAGTGCCAAGACCTGGACCTTTTGCGGCACCCCCGAGTATGTGGCACCCGAAATCATACTCAACAAGGGTCACGATCGAGCCGTCGACTACTGGGCCCTCGGCATCCTCATCCACGAGCTGCTCAATGGCACGTAAGTGAAATAAGCAATAAGCACTTATTATTATAACTATTTACTTTATGGGTTTTTGTCTTTAACAGACCGCCGTTCAGTGCCCCGGATCCCATGCAGACGTACAACCTCATTCTGAAGGGCATCGACATGATCGCCTTCCCCAAGCACATTTCCCGCTGGGCTGTGCAGCTCATCAAGCGCCTGTGCCGCGACGTTCCCTCGGAGCGACTTGGCTACCAGACGGGGGGCATCCAAGACATCAAGAAGCACAAGTGAGTACCATCTTAAAAAGAAGCAGGGGTGCCCACCAAAGCAAAAAAAAAAAAAATAACATTAAAAACATGTTTGTACTCAATTTCCATATTATTCGCTTTGATTTTTATCCATTGCTGTTTTATAAAAGTGTAGCTATTTTAGTAATCCATGTCTTCCTCAGGTGGTTCCTGGGATTCGACTGGGATGGCTTGTCCAGCCAGCTGCTGATCCCGCCCTTTGTGCGCCCCATTGCCCATCCGACGGACGTGCGCTACTTCGACCGCTTCCCCTGCGACCTAAACGAGCCGCCGGACGAGCTCTCAGGCTGGGATGCGGACTTCTAGGCACATGCCACATACCCCTCCCCATCTTTGACTTAGTACTTCCACACTCTTTAGTTTAGCTTACTTTATTGAGTTGCGTAGAAACGTAGAAACGTAGAAAGGAACAAAGGGAAATTTATGGATCCTGGTCGATGATGTACTCCAATGTTTGGGCTGCCAGCAGCTGGCAAATTTGCGAGCACCGCGCAATCAGGGGCCTGTAGATCTGTTCGCAACCAGGCGATGGCTCTGCGGCCAGTTTCAAGCCGGAGGGCACCGCACTGAAGAACTCACCAAAGCTGAGCTTGGGCGCCCTGCCCCTGGGCATCTTGCAGGAGCGGCAGTTGCAGGCGGCCTCCCGATGCTCGTAGAAGGCGTAACGGGCGCGAAAGGCGCAGCCCAAGAGGCTCACCTCGACGCCGGTTCTCTGGTAAACGGGAGCATTGAAGACATCCGCCACGATTTGCAGCACGCGCTGACTCCGCGAGTCCTCGCCCACCACAATGATTTTGGTGTCGGCCGCCTTGTGGAAGCCCATTTCGCGGGCAACGGCGCAGTGGTGCATTATTTGCCCTTCGATTAACGCGCGCACCTCTATCTCCGGCGTCTCGAATCGCGGGCTGCCGCGCACGCACTCCTGCGACATGTTGTCCACGTGGGGAGCCCAGCGCAGAACACCCCGGGCAATGGGTATGATCTCGCGTTCCCGGAAGTGCATGGCCACATGGCCATTGTTGCCGGGGGGCGTGGCATCGAGCATCTCGTAGAATCGCTGCCAAGCGCCCTGCACCACCTCCTCGCAGACGGCCTTGCGGGCCAGGGCGCCATTGCGGAAGCACAGCAGGCCCATGTACTCATCCGTCCGGGTGGGATGGCACATCACATGGCCCTCCTCCAGCTGGGGGGCCTTCTTGAGCGGCATCACCACCACGTCGCTGGTGTCCAGCGACAGCATGAGGAAGTCCTTCTCCACCAGAAGACCAGCCAGCTCGGAGGCCTTGCTGCCAGCGGAAGCCACCACCATGCAGTCCGGCCGAAAGTGCCACCGCTTCACATAATAGTCCGCAATGCGTCCTTGCAGCCGGGACGCGGGAATGGGCCGCATCAGACGCCTGGCCAGGTCGGGAGCACAGGCATTCAGGCACAGCGGACACCACGTCTTTCGCCGGATGTCCATCAGGTTCATGCCCGAGCCATCGGTGTAGTCTATGGAGGCGATGCCGCCAATCAGCAGCGAAGCCAAAAAGCTGCTGATCAGAGAGATCCTGGGGCATCTTTCATACTGCTCCGGACACTGGGTGTACACTTTCCGGATTTGGGGGCCCGTAAAGCGGGCGTACGCCCTGGAGCCCGTGATACTGGAAAGTTCGGCCGGACCGCCGACAACCTGCTCCATTTCCCGCACCTGCTGATCCGTGGAGGTGTCTCGCCAGGTGGGTGTCCTGGTCAGCTCGAAGGCGCTCTCCGTGATCTGTTCGTGGAGTCGCAGGTGCGCATTCAAATTGCACACACGCCGCAGGCCCAGCTCCGACCAAAAGACACAACCGTGCTGCTGGGCCGCTCCGGCAATCGAGGCCACCGAGTGCAGATCCGCTCCCTGTTTCGCCAGGCAGTCCATCAGCATGTCCAGCGCCTTCACCCACATCACCGGGTTGGCCAGGAACTCGCCGGGGCCACCGTCGGGCAGTATTCCATTGGTCGTACCGAACTCGGGCAGGTCAACGTCATAGCGAATCTGCGCGACATAGGTGACACTCAGCTTAGAGTCAAGGATCACGGCGCGCAGCAGCTGGGTGCCCAAATGGAGACCGAGGTAGCTGTTGCCACTGTAGTCCTGCCTGCGTCGGTGGCACATCACACATCGGTGGTTGCAGAGGTAGGTAAAAATTTATGGGAGAACAAACAATTTTTTAAAATAGATTTTAGTAGCTAAAAAAGTTGTTGTACTGTGTAGACATTACATTAAAAGCCGGATTAAATGCAAAAAGCGACAACAACTATCAATAACCTTTATCTGAATTGCAATTTTTATGAAATTTTTTAATTTCCAAAAAAATCGTGTTTACAAAAAAATGACCAAAACCCTGCACCTCTAATTCCATAACTTTTCATTCCGGCATCCGATTAAGCGGTATATCTTTAAAGTCTTGTGACTTAAGCTTCTAAAAATCTGCGCTTAAATTTTGTTTTTAAGCCTGCAGCTCTCAGTCCATAACATTTCTTTTCGCCATCTGATTTGAAAGTGGCATATCTTTAAAGTCTTATGGCTTAAGATTAGTATTGTTTTTAGCTTAGGTTGTACGTTTTGTAAATCAGTTATAGGAGTTAGCTATTAATATTTTATCTTACTTGCAGGGACACAATTCTGGCGATGATGACTTCGGCATAGCGAATTATTGGAACTCTACAAGTTTGTGTGCGAGGAAATGTTACTCAAGGAATGCGGCTGTTAAGTGGAGAAGACAAGCTTGGTAGGTGACATATTTTAATAATATTATATCATATTTTATAAAATAACTTAAATTTTTTTTTCGCAGATATCAACTACGAAAAGTTTAATACGCATCTTCTGGTGTACGAAAACAGCGACACGGCAGCATGTAAAAAGGCGTTACATCTTTTCGGCATTATGGCATACTTCAATAAGTTGGACATCGATTGAGGCAATTATTTTACATAAATTATTTTTGTTTCACAGGTGTGTTTAATAAAAAAAAATAAACGCTTATAAGTGCATTTATTGTCGTATTTTTATTTGTGGGAAATTATTGCGATTAAGATTTGCTGAAATTTAAACAAAAATGGGATTTAATTCCAGTTTTGAAGATATCAAGAAGTTTTCTGGACCTTTTACGGCAGAAAAGGTGTTGCATACTTTTGGGAAGCATGTAATTGCATGCCGAATTTTTGCTTGGTTGTAGCATGCTTTTAGGGTGCATTGGGCTGGATGTGGTTGGCAACGCGAATGCTTTGCGGGCATCCGCCGATGGTTGGCAACGCGGGTGGTTGTCGGGATCTAGATTAAAATTATCGCATGCGATATTTTTCCACATAAAATTGATACAAAAAAATAAAAATTATCGCATGCGATATTTTTCAAAATAAAATCTATAAAAATTTGTAAATTATCGCATGCGATATTTTTTTACCAAAAAATATTGAGAAAATGTGTAAATTATCGCATGCGATATTTTTTTACAAAAATTTATAAAAAATGTGTAAATTATCGCATGCAATATTTTTTAACAAAAATTTGTAAAAATAATGTGTAAATTATCGCATGCAATATTTTTTAACAAAAATTGTAACAAAAAATGAAAATTATCGCATGCAATATTAAAAAAAAAAAAAAAAAAAATTGTCGCACGCAATATTTTTCTAAAAAAAAATAAAATTATCGCATGGGGAATTTAACAAAATAAAATTGATAAAAAATATTATTTTTCTCCGCCACAAAAAAAAACGACAAACGCTACAAAAAAAAAAACGACATAATTCCGCCGTCCGCGAAATTATTCCCCCGATAAGCTAAACGAAAAGACCGATTTCTTTCCAAAACTGGAAAATAAATCCCATTTTTATTTAAATTTCAGCAAATCTTAATCGTAATAACTTATAGTATATCGAAAACTGACAAGCTTAAGAATGCTGTTGGCCAATGCGCCTCTGCTCGGTGATCTTAAACTGCAACAGCACCACTAGGTAGGTGGCCATGAACGAGATGTTGGTGGTGATCAGCTCCCGGTTGATGTTAGCATACCCGTCCAGATTCATTATGGGCGGATTCTTGTTGATCGCCACAAGCAACATTTCCACCTCCTTTTGGGTGGCTGCGTCTACGGCGGTCAGGTTGATGTTGAGCAGCTTCGTCTGGAAATCTAGGCCAACCTTCCTGGAAGCGTAGTGCGCCTCGTTGCAAATGATATACAGCAGGCCCATGCAGTAGAAAACGATGACGAACAGACCCACCTCCTTGTAGGTGGCTCCGTGGTCGATAATTTCGCTGATGCTCCCGTAAGTGGCGATGATCGTGGTGAAGAAGATGACCAGGCAGTACATGCCGTACATGTTTGAGTACGCTCGCCCCAGCTGCTGCATCATGTGGCTGAGGTCAACCCACAAATGGCGGTATTCGGTCAGCTTTTGGGCAGGCTTTTCGCCCCGGATGGTCGTCTGCAGTTAACAATGTAAAATTAATATGTTTGCTGTTGAAAACCTGTTTTATTTTACCTGCAAAGCATCCGAGAGGGCGCGACTGGCGGTACCGAATGCGTTGCAGTTTATGTACCTGCAAGAGATAAACAAAAAATAGTAAATATAGTTGGCGATAACATAACCTTTAACATAAAATTAAGAGCTTCATATAATATCTAATTTTCAGCGATAATCAAGGTAATATTTTAAACTTAAAAAACGCAAAAAATTGCATTGGTCAAACAATTTTATTAAACATGCGATAATTAGTCATAATTACGACTATAAAAATCACACGTGTACTCACCACAGGCTGCAGAAGCAGTTGAGCATGGCGATGATGGGGTAGTAGGCAAACGTGTACCACAGCCGGAAGTCTGGCTGCAGGAAGTACTGGGACAGGTTGATGGCGATGCTCAGCAGCCAGGAGAAGACACACAGCGACCAAGTGAGCGGGTAGAGATTCGGAAAGACGATCGGCGAGCCAGTGGTCTTGAAGAACTTGTACTGATAGTTGGTCCACATGTTCTTGAAGATGGCCACCTGCGGTCCATGTCGCCAACTGGCCACCGGGAGCAGAAAGTTGGTGAAGAGCAGGCTGATGAAAATCACATTGTAGATGGCCTCGTCGAATCGTTTGTCCGGGCTGGTGACGAACTTCTTCACCCGCTCGCGCAGCACCAGCACCACAATGGTCGTTTGGCAGCTGTAGATGAAGATGGCCCACATGACCTGCTTGGAGCCCCAGGAGTAGCCCGTCCGAGGTAGATTCTTTTCCGGCGGATTGCGGTGAATGGGCATCACGCCCATTATCTGGAAGAGCACCAACAGGCTCTTTGTGGTCTGGTAAAACGAGTCGTGTTTGTCCAGTTCGAGGGGATCGTCCACAGTCTCCTGCTTGCGAACGTACACCTCTTCCATGGCATCGCCACGCGCCATTAGTTTAAGCTTTTCGCGGTAACGTACTTCGTCCTCCAGAAACTGCCGCTGGTTGGGATTCAGCATGGGCACCACCTTTGAAGGCGGCGTCAGGCCGCGACTCACTGCCCAGAACGACATCGTTGGGTTTTCGAAAAAGTCCTGCCGTTTCTCATTGCAGAACCTTTTATACCCTTCTCCAGCGGAGAATGGAGGACAGGCCTTGCTATTGACTTTCGATTGAAAGACAAACAATGAAAGGGACACGCCCGGAGGCGGCGCCCGTTTGCTTGCCCTCCATTAAATATGCTGAAGTCCGGGACATGAGCACGAGCCTAGTCGTTGGTTAGGATCCTACAGATGAAGAAAAGAAAGGATTTTTAATTAGATTGGTTTGTAATAAAATATAGTGCTATATAAAAAAAGTAATTTAATTTGAAATATTAAGTTAAAAAGCATGTAGGTTAAAATAAATAAGATGAGCCTAACCACAAATTATTGCAGAAGCAAAATTAATGTTTGTGATGTTTGAGTACAGTTTTAAAGTTTTTACTTTTAAAACCACATTCTGTTTTTGGTGTACTTTTCATAACCGTTTCGGTAATAGATTTGACTTCATTTTCTCTAGGTGTACGTTTGTTGTGGTCATTTTGCTGACACCGACCATCGGGTGACCCAACAGAGAATGAGGAGCAGGGGTAGGAGTTCAACTGAGGGCGACCGAACGGAGAAGGTACATAAAATGCGCTTAATTTGCCGGAAATGAAAGTTTAACGATGTGTAAATGCTTACGAATGCCGATAGAGGCTCGCACTAATGACCAATAAAAATGTGCCACCAACGGGTCTCCATCGCCGTCTTTGAGCCAGTCCTTGTCCTCTGGGTCAACCCCAACCCACAACCCCTCTCGGTTGTCGTGTGTGTGGTCCTGACTTTTGATCTATTTCTGCCTGAGATACAAAAAGGCCCGGCATCAATGGCTCTTAAGGCGCTTAAAGTCAGTCGAGAGTGGAGAGGAAATCCATGGCAATGACAGCGGAATAGCCCCCAATCCTCTCGTGCAACTCCTCGCTCCTGTGGGATATAACAAGTTGGGGCAACAAATCTTCCGCCGGAGAATGTTGGGAATTCGAGTCTCATTTCCAGAGCGGTTTGGGGGAACTGCAGCCAACTGTTGCGAGTTCGCCCATGCTTTTTTGGCCAGAGTTGGCCCTGTTTTGGCACCGAAATTCATTTCCACAGCACATAGTTTGGCAAACTCAGCTCGTTTAATGCGAAAACTTTTAAGACAAACGACAAGCGAGACTGCATAAATAAAGTGTTTAGCTGCTTTTTTATGCCCACAAAGTCAGCTCGCCGTGTGACATAATTGCAGACGAGAAAAAAACTCTGGCACAGCTTCATCCTTTGATGCGGCTTAAAGAACTGCAGCGGATCCATGGATTGACCAGCCATTGTTGCTCACACGTTCTTTTTGCAAGACTTGCCGACTCCAATTGTCACAAGAACGTTGTTTTAAAATTTTGAGTTGATTTTTCTACGATAGCTCATTAATTAATTTCCGATAAATTAGCTTTGCAGAAAAGTGACAAAAAACCTGCAGTTTTAATTCTATAACTTTTCTTTTAAGCATCCGAATTGGAAGTGGTATATCTTAAATGTCTCGAGGCTTAGATTTCTAAAAAACTGCGTTTAAAACTTGGTTTGTTATTTCTGGTCGATTTTCTGCAATTTTTAATGATGTTACCCCTTTCTAAATTTCCAAAAAAACCGTGTTTGCAGAAAAATTACCAAGACCCTGCACCTCTAATTCCATAACTTTTTATTCCGGCATCCGATTTTCAAGCGGTATATCTTTAAAGTCTTGTGGGTCGAGCCTCTAAAAATCTGCGTTTAAAGTTTGTTTTAATATTGTGAGTTGTTTTTTTTACAGATATAAATCCATTAATTTCCGATAAAATAGCTTTGCAGAAAAGTGACAAAAAACCTGCAGTTTTAATTCTATAACTTTTCTTTTAAGCATCCGATTTGGAAGTGGTATATCTTAAATGGCTCGAGGCTTAGATTTCTAAAAAACTGCGTTTAAAACTTGGTTTGTAATTTCTGGTCGATTTTCTGCAATTTTTAATGATGTTACCCCTTTCTAAATTTCCAAAAAAATCGTGTTTGCAGAAAAATTACCTAAACCCTGCACCTCTAATTCAATAACTTTTCATTCCGGCATCCGATTATGGTTATAGCGGTATATCTTTAAAGTCTTGTGGGTTGAGCCTCTAAAAATCTGAGTTTAAAGTTTGTTTTAATATTGTGAGTTGTTTTTTTTACGGATATAAATCCATTAATTTCCGATAAAATAGCTTTGCAGAAAAGTGACAAAAAACCTGCAGTTTTAATTCTATAACTTTTCTTTTAAGCATCCGATTTCGAAGTGGTATATCTTAAATGGCTCGAGGCTTAGTTTTCTAAAAAACTGCGTTTAAAACTTGGTTTGTAATTTCTGGTCGATTTTCTGCAATTTTTAATGATGTTACCCCTTTCTAAATTTCCAAAAAAATCGTGTTTGCAGAAAAATTACCTAAACCCTGCACCTCTAATTCAATAACTTTTCATTCCGGCATCCGATTATGGTTATAGCGGTATATCTTTAAAGTCTTGTGGGTTGAGCCTCTAAAAATCTGAGTTTAAAGTTTGTTTTAATATTGTGAGTTGTTTTTTTTACGGATATAAATCCATTAATTTCCGATAAAATAGCTTTGCAGAAAAGTGACAAAAAACCTGCAGTTTTAATTCTATAACTTTTCTTTTAAGCATCCGATTTCGAAGTGGTATATCTTAAATGGCTCGAGGCTTAGTTTTCTAAAAAACTGCGTTTAAAACTTGGTTTGTAATTTCTGGTCGATTTTCTGCAATTTTTAATGATGTTACCCCTTTCTAAATTTCCAAAAAAACCGTGTTTGCAGAAAAATTACCAAAACCCTGCACCTCTAATTCCATAACTTTTTATTCCGGTATCCGATTTTCAAGCGGTATACCTTTAAAGTCTTGTGGGTTGAGCCTCTAAAAATCTGAGTTTAAAGTTTGTTTGAATATTGTGAGTTGTTTTTTTTACAGATATAAATCCATTAATTTCCGATAAAATAGCTTTGCAGAAAAGTGACAAAAAACCTGCAGTTTTAATTCTATAACTTTTCTTTTAAGCATCCGAATTCGAAGTGGTATATCTTAAATGTCTCGAGGCTTAGATTTCTAAAAAACTGCGTTTAAAACTTGGTTTGTTATTTCTGGTCGATTTTCTGCAATTTTTAATGATGTTACCCCTTTCCAAATTTCCAAAAAAACCGTGTTTGCAGAAAAATGACCAAAACCCTGCACCTCTAATTCCATAACTTTTTATTCCGGCATCCGATTTTCAAGCGGTATATCTTTAAAGTCTTGTGGGTTGAGCCTCTAAAAATCTGAGTTTAAAGTTTGTTTTAATATTGTGAGTTGTTTTTTTTACAGATATAAATCCATTAATTTCCGATAAAATAGCTTTGCAGAAAAGTGACAAAAAACCTGCAGTTTTAATTCTATAACTTTTCTTTTAAGCATCCGAATTCGAAGTGGTATATCTTAAATGTCTCGAGGCTTAGATTTCTAAAAAACTGCGTTTAAAACTTGGTTTGTTATTTCTGGTCGATTTTCTGCAATTTTTAATGATGTTACCCCTTTCTAAATTTCCAAAAAAACCGTGTTTGCAGAAAAATTACCAAAACCCTGCACCTCTAATTCCATAACTTTTTATTTCGGCATCCGATTTTCAAGCGGTATATCTTTAAAGTCTTGTGGGTTGAGCCTCTAAAAATCTGCGTTTAAAGTTTGTTTTAATATTGTGAGTTGTTTTTTTTACAGATATAAATCCATTAATTTCCGATAAAAAAGCTTTGCAGAAAAGTGACAAAAAACCTGCAGTTTTAATTCTATAACTTTTCTTTTAAGCATCCGATTTCGAAGTGGTATATCTTAAATGTCTCGAGGCTTAGTTTTCTAAAAAACTGCGTTTAAAACTTGGTTTGTAATTTCTGGTCGATTTTCTGCAATTTTTAATGATGTTACCCCTTTCCAAATTTCCAAAAAAACCGTGTTTGCAGAAAAATTACCAAAACCCTGCACCTCTAATTCCATAACTTTTTATTCCGGCATCCGATTTTCAAGCGGTATATCTTTAAAGTCTTGTGGGTTGAGCCTCTAAAAATCTGCGTTTGAAGTTTGTTTTAATATTGTGAGTTGTTTTTTTTACAGATATAAATCCATTAATTTCCGATAAAAAAGCTTTGCAGAAAAGTGACAAAAAACCTGCAGTTTTAATTCTATAACTTTTCTTTTAAGCATCCGATTTCGAAGTGGTATATCTTAAATGTCTCGAGGCTTAGTTTTCTAAAAAACTGCGTTTAAAACTTGGTTTGTAATTTCTGGTCGATTTTCTGCAATTTTTAATGATGTTACCCCTTTCCAAATTTCCAAAAAAACCGTGTTTGCAGAAAAATTACCAAAACCCTGCACCTCTAATTCCATAACTTTTTATTCCGGCATCCGATTTTCAAGCGGTATATCTTTAAAGTCTTGTGGGTTGAGCCTCTAAAAATCTGAGTTTAAAGTTTGTTTTAATATTGTGAGTTGTTTTTTTTACAGATATAAATCCATTAATTTCCGATAAAATAGCTTTGCAGAAAAGTGACAAAAAACCTGCAGTTTTAATTCTATAACTTTTCTTTTAAGCATCCGATTTCGAAGTGGTATATCTTAAATGTCTCGAGGCTTAGTTTTCTAAAAAACTGCGTTTAAAACTTGGTTTGTAATTTCTGGTCGATTTTCTGCAATTTTTAATGATGTTACCCCTTTCCAAATTTCCAAAAAAACCGTGTTTGCAGAAAAATTACCAAAACCCTGCACCTCTAATTCCATAACTTTTTATTCCGGCATCCGATTTTCAAGCGGTATATCTTTAAAGTCTTGTGGGTTGAGCCTCTAAAAATCTGAGTTTAAAGTTTGTTTTAATATTGTGAGTTGTTTTTTTTACAGATATAAATCCATTAATTTCCGATAAAATAGCTTTGCAGAAAAGTGACAAAAAAACCTGCAGTTTTAATTCTATAACTTTT